AAAACAATGTATCATTTCAGCTATCCAAGAGTACCCATTTCTATTCTATATTTCTAGTCGCTTGACACTCAAATACAAATAATTATTCTCCATTCTCACAATATAAAATACCGTAGTCACATTTATTCTGGTATTAAAGGAATTTACAACTGATTCAACATAGTCCTTCATCTTTTTCCCAAATGAGTAATAAGAGTAGGATAGCCTTGTTTATTCAAATGACCTTTATTCTAACTCTCTCATTTGTGGCTGAGCAATTCCGCCCACATCTACATTCCCAAAATTACATCAGAACATCCTGGCAGAAATTCTAAATTCTTGGTGGATGTCAATTATACATCAAGGACCCAAGAACAGAAGTAACTCATCTGACAAAATGACAGTGTAAATTATAAATGAGATACCACAGTTGATCCTTATTTTTATAGTCTTCATTAGCAGCATTCAATAAAGTCATATAAACATACCTTTCTATGAGTTCCTCTTTCTACCACAAATTTCTTTAAAAATTATACTTCACAAAGTTCAGTTAGAGTTTAGCTCAGATAAAAAACTGTTGTAATATCCCCTGCTGATGTAACCTTTTCAAGTTTTTGTTGTAATCTCTCTGAAAGTCAAACTTGATTTAAACATAGCTGAGTTCCATTTAAGTGGATTGACAGAAAGCATACTTTTCCCCCAATACATACACTGGAAGAAACAAACTATTTCCATAATCCAAATAGATGTGTTATGTTTATATCAGTTATAAGGGGGAACAGTTTACCCCCAAACACTAACTATCTTCTTTAAAACCTCAGATAAGATTTGTCAATACTGTAGAATATTGCATTATTTGTTCAAAATATTATATAGATTCTAGTAAGCGTGTTTCAAAGTATAGTACAGTTGTGGTTTCTGTTTTGAAAAAAACACAATGTAATGATTAGTTTTTGGTAGGACTTGTCATTGGAAATATAAGCAGTGATTAGAATGTTAATAAGGATTGGGGAGATTAAGATTTAAATTTGCACAACAGATCTGAAAATCAGTTGCTGTCTTTGAATCCAATTTACAATGCAGAGTTTTTGTGAGGATAATATGGGGACACACGCTTTTGCTCCTGGAAAAAAGTAGGATATAAATATAATAAATATATATGTTATTACACAGCTGCAATCTTTAATTCCTTTAAACTCTGTCTTCAGCATTATTTTTTTCAGTCAAATTCTGAGATAATTTCCTTGGAAATAAATGATTCCCTTTCCAAAAATGAAATATTTCTCAGAATCCCATCCTTAACTGTAGGCTCTAGTGTTATATATTTCTTAGGGAACATACTGAATTCTTAATAATGAACTAATAACTACAAACAATCTACAGCATCACAGATGAACATGTTATTTTATTATCTCCAACAAAATTTAAATAAAAGAAAAAGGGAAAATAGAGTCATTACAGTAAAGGGAATGGTGAATTTAATTCAGGTGACCATCAGGTATACTATTGCAGGCAAGAATCCCTCAGAAGAAATGGAGTAGCCTTCATAGTCAATAAAGTAGGAAAAGCAATATTGGGATACAATCCCCAAAATGACAGAATGTTCTCGATTCAAATCCAAGGTAAACCATTAAACATAATAGCAATCCACGTCTATGCCCCAACCACGGGTGCTGAAGAGGATGAAATTGACCGGTTCTATGAAGCCCTATAGTACTTTATAAAATTAATTCAAAAAAAGATGTCCTTATCATCATGGGGGGTTGGAATGCTAAAGTAGGACGCCAAAAGATAACCAGAATAACAGGCAAATTTGGTCTTGGAGTACAAAATGAAATAGGAAACAGGCTGATAGAATTTTGTCAAGAGAATACGATGATCAGAGCAAACACTCTTTTCCAATAACCCAAGAGACGACTCTACATATGGACATCACCAGACGATCAACACAGAAATCAGATTGACTATGTGATCTGCAGCCAAAGATGGAGAAGCTCTATACAGTCAGTAAAAACAAGACCAGGAGCTGACTGTGGCTCAGATCATGAGCTTCTCGCTGCAAAATTTTGTGTTTAGTCTTGCAAAATTGAAGAAAGTAGGGGAAAGCACGAGGCCACTCAGGTACGAACTAAATCATATCCCTGGTGAATATATGGTAGAGGTGACAAATATATTTAAGGAATTAGATCTGGTGGATTGCCTGAAGAACTATGGACAGAGGTTTGTAACATAGTACAACAGGTAGCAACTAAAACCATCCCAAAGAAAAAGAAATGCAAGAAAGCAAAATGGTTGTCTGAGGATGCTTTGCAAATAGCTGAGGAAAGAAAGGAAGCGAAAGATAAGGGAGAAAGAGAAAGATACACCCAAAACTGAACGCAGAATTCCAGAGAATAGCTAGAAGAGATAAGAATGCCTTCTTAAATGAACAGTGCAAAGAAATAGAAGAAAACAATAGAATAGGGAGGACCAGAGATCCCTTCAAGAAAATTGGAGATATGAAGGGACTGTTTCATGCAAAGATGGGCATGATAAAGGACAAAAATGGCAGGGATCTAACAGAGGCAGAAGAAATTAAGAAGAGGTGGCAAAATTACACAGAAGNTCTAAAAAAATTTGAAACCCCTGTGTCAGTGCCTCACCAGCCATAAACCTCACTGCACATCACTGATATGGATAGTCCTCGTTTATTGACTGCTTTGGACAGCGCCTGTTCATTTACAGCAGTAAAGTAAAAGTAACTTTGTGACCAATGCCCATATTTTTATCCTCGGCATCTCTCTTTCAATTATGTGTTTCCTATTACAGTCAGTTGGTACATGTTGCAGTGCCTGACCCATTTTTACATACACACACCCCAGAGTGGAGAGATTGCCTAAGCAACTTATCTCTTTTTCCAAAATGGTAGTATGTTCCTAAAAAGTGCTAACCATGTTAACAAGTTCACCTCAGTGACCTTAATTAGTTGATTAGAATCCTTTATGTGTCTGTGCTCCTGTCTGATATTAACAAGACATGAATGAATTTAACATTAAAGGTTTTTGTTTCCCTCCTTAAGGGCTTGCTGGTACACTTCCTTTTGAAGTGTACACCCAAAATGTACACCCCATTGTGTGCTTGCTTACTCTCTTGTAATTCCTTCCTCTGCAATGAATGTAAATAGAAACATCAATTATCTTCTTGCTAATTATCCCAGCACTGGGTAAGCATTCCAAAGGGTGAGAGAGTGAGGTTAAATGGCCATAAGAGTTGCCCTTTTACCTGACTTTCTCATGAATTAAGTTCTGGAAACCTTTCCCATTGTTTAGGCCAAAGGTATCAAACTCAAGGCCCGCAGGCTGGATCTGGCCCATGGGTTGCTTAAATATGGCCCATGGGGCCGCCCTGGAAACAGCAAAGGACTCTCCCCTCATGAGCTCCGTTTTTGGCTGTGACGGCTTCCTGCAATCCTCTGCCAGCGAACCCAACCTCTATTTTCACCCTGGCAGAGTGCTTGGGCCACCACAAGCATCCCCGACACGAGTGGAGTTGAGCTGGCCAACACCCCCGAGGTCAAGAACAACCTGATGCAACCCTCAATTAAATTGAGTTTGACATCATATCCTTCTGTCAAAGCAAAGGAAAGCTGAAGTGAAATTGAAAACACTTGTCATAATGTGATTTTCATTTAGCGACTGCTTTCCTTAATGATCAAGTCACTAGAACTATCTGTACTTCATTTGCTCTAATAAAGTTCCTCTAATAACTCTTCTTTAAATTATGATTTTTGTAGAATGGTCAACAAATTATGGATGAGCCTATGGGAGAAGAAGAACTAAATCCACAAACAGTAAGTAGAATATGAAGATTCACATCTTATTTGAGTTGTTTCAATCCATGACTGAGGACTTCTAAGATTTAAAAATAAAGACTTTTATATCAACTATTTACCATGTTTTTCAAGAGTATAAGATGCACCTAACTATAAGATGCACCTAAAAGTTTTTTTTGGGGGGGCGGGGAATATTCTGAAACAAATTGTGTAGTAATATATTTAATAAAATATAGCAGAATATTTTTTACAACCATGTATAATTTTTACAACTATGTAAAGTCAACAGCTGTATTAAGAACCATCATCACTGCCATTAACAAATGAGGAGAGACTTTAAGGTTCAAGCACTCTTCTAATTTTCTGGAAACCCCAAGAACTCATCATTGTCGCTGGTGTCAGAATTTAGGAAGCTCATATTACAATCACTCATATCACTTTCTTCGCTACCTTCATAAATGGTATCATCTTCAATTCCATCTAAGGCACTGCCTCATTTTTTGAATGACCGTGTAACAGTTTCGTCCTTCACTGAGTGCCATGATGTTTTCTCCCATTCACAAACTTGAATGATAGTGTACGATCATGATTACCAGCAGCCATCCACTTTTCCCCCTCTTCTCACATGCACACTTTGAATGGTTTGTTGAAACGTCAAGAGATTACAGCTGACTGGTAAGACTCCCAGGAATTACAGCTAGATGAGTCTTCACTTCTTTGAATCTTTTCTTTGTAATTTCACTAATATGTGCTCTAATCTTAGATTCATACTCTTGGCATTTTTTGCACAATTCTAGTTTTGGTGCCCACGGCAAGGTCATATCTCCTCATAAATCTGAAACGATGGTGATCCAATAAAATCCCTAATGCCTTTCTGGGCAGCAATGCTTTTGGCTTCATATATCATCATTTGTGTGGAAACTGCAAAGCCACTGTTCCAGTGACGTGTGATCCAGTCTTTCATGTCCTCCTCTAACTCGCCAATTTGCAGGAAGCCCATGAAAGTCCTGGAAAAGACCATGCTTCCTTCAGCTCAGCAACTTGTNGCTGGATGGAGTCACTGAAGCAATAGGCGTGAGCTTAAATGGACTCCAGAGGATGGTAGAGGACAGGAAGGCCTGGAGGAACCTTGTCCATGGAGGTCGCGATCGGAGAGACTTCGCAACTAACAACACAGTAAAGGATAGGTCGAATCCTTACGAGCACTACAATTTGTGCAAGCAGAGTCGAGGAGTGCCCGTCTTCCAGCCAAGTTAAAAAGTGGGTAACGGGACATTTTAAAAACGTCTTCATTTACATGAAGGCTGTTAAGAAAACGCAAGAAGAGAAGACTAATTATACTCTGAAGAATCTCCAACCACGTTTTGTGCCACCATCCTTTAAGGGAGGTGGCAATTATTCCCGATCAGGTTACTGACGTTGAGGGGAAGCGACCACGGAGAAGAATGTGACCTCATGCGCAGAATACTGCATTTTGAGATGAATGAGCTATGACGCGCCTTTAGTAAAGGCAGCAGAGGACAGCGGTCGTATCTGAAGAGTATTTCGCTCAAGAGTACGTGACAGAACCTTCACGTATCCAGAATCCTCCACCAGCAAAACTACCCTCATCATTCCGCCCGCCCCCGTGAAAAGAGCCCGCAGCTCTGAGTCGGTTACTTTACTACCTGAGATATAAACTGATTGACTGGGTCAGTCCCGCCCTTGGGAATGACGCAGACAACTTCTGTTTGATAGGCAGGTACGCTCGGACGCGGCCATGTTGGGAGCGGAAGTGAAGTGAGTAATAGCCCCAGCCGCGGGAGAAGCGTTGAGATTAGATTTACCGAGCGGCGAAAGCCTCCAGTTGAACATCTGCTCCTACGCCGGCGTGGGTACACTTGCCTCATCCGGAGGGGTAGGAGCTGCATCTCCGGTAGTCTCCTCCCTTGCCGGGGAGGAAAATAACGAAGAGGGATCCTATGTCTTGGTGTTCCTGAGGGGTGGCAGGAGACAACGGCGGGAGCTTGAAGTTAAAGAAGAAAGATGCCTTTGGCACAGTTGGCGGACCCCTGGCAGAAAATGGCTGTGGAGAGTACGGCCGAGAGCGGCAGCAACGTCGAGGTAAGTGCGTGGGGCATTCCCGGATTTGCGGGGTTAGGCTGGGCAACCGCGTGGAATCCCGCCTACAGGACCAGGAGAAGGGCGGGAGAACCAGGAGGAAAAGCTCGGTCACCTCAGCAAAGGAGCGTCACTGCCCCGTTGCTGCCTCTTCGTCCGTCTTTCCCTGAGAATGCTGGAGAGAGTCAGGCGCGCTCTTATTTCCTTGTTTTATTTCCTTTAGAGGCGCTGGGCGGAAACCAGGAAGTAAAACGCTTCCTGCTTGCCTTAAACTCCGGCTGCCTTAAGCCTGCGTCCTCGAAGTAAATTGTGCTGCAAATCTTATTACTCCCAACCAGGGTGGTGGAGTATAATGGAAGCTATTTATCTAGCAAAGCTGTTTGACATCAAGATTGTCTCATATCACTACCTCAAATCGATTTTTCAGTCTTTGTGACAATCTTTGTCTATCTTTACTTCCTCCATTTCACTGAGGAAATTAGTTGTTGAATCCCCCTTCCTATAACCCTAGAGTTTTGTATAGCAGACTTTTGGAATAAAACTTTATAATACACATCATTACTTTTCTTCCCTGCAGCCAACTAACATGATTTTGAAAGTGTTTAACCTATTATCTCTTTTCACTAATTTCCTTTGCAAACAAGTAAAAAAGGGAGGGTTTTCCAAATAACCTTTTGTGTGTAGGTTATAGAATGCTATTCCTTCTAAATAAGAGAATATTGGGGGGGGGACCCCAAAAACTTAACACTTTCGAATTACAAAAGTATGATTTGGATTGTAGGCCTTTTGTTTCCATTTCTCTTCACACAGAGACATTCTCATGTTCATTTATTAAGATACTTTCTGATTATTTAAAATGTTCCTGTTTTTCACAACAGTATCTTCTGTGATAAAGAAGCCTTTTGAAATGGGTATTTGTATTGTGTCTCTTTTATACAGATAGTGTTAAAACCTCTCTTTGTGGTTGTTACGGTTTATGGAGAGAAATATTACACCCACTGTTAACACTACAGAAAGATACCTTTTCTTGTGAATTTTTCAATGATTGTTATATATGAATTTTCTAATGCAGAACAAGGGAGAGTATAAACATATCTTCCTTGTTTTTCCCTCTTGAAGGTAATATTGGGGTGGGGCTGCCAGATTGTCAGCCTTGGTAATACACAGTTGAAGGACTCCTGCTGCTTTTGTTCCCTTTGGTGGTGTCTGGTTACTTCACATTATTCTTCCCTTCACTTCCTCTCATTTTGCCCAGATGCTTAACTTCCTCCTAGTCTTAAGAAGAAAGAAAGAAGTTTGCAGGGCTACATTTTTTAAAATTCTTTTTTAAAAAGGAAACTGCATATCCTGCTTCTGCTATAAGGAAGACACCGGCAGAGTAACTGATGATCTGTTTACACATTTTTCTCACAGTTCATATGTTTTAAGAAGCAGTTTGCTAGTAATTCAAAATAGTTTATCCAAAACATTTTGGCTAAATTTAGATTGCCTGGCTTAATAAATCAACAAGTAAACCTGAAGAGAAGTTTTAGATTTTTAGATGCTTACAAGGTTCACTTTCTTATTTTGGGGGATAATGGTAATTATTGTGAGCATCTGCCTTATTTAAACATATATAATTAGGTTTTAATTTGTTTCCCACTCAATCCATTTTATATTGTTTTATGTTTTACCTTATGAATGATTTTTTTAAAAAAATCTATAGATGACAGCACGATTACCATTTTATGTTTGTGGGTGTTTGTCACTGGAGAGTACAATTCCATATTTTATATTTTTTTCACAAAAGTACTAAATGTACCAGTAATTAAATAAATAAAATGAGAAAGAGAACCTAGTGGGTAAAATATAACTCAAAATAATAAAATCAGATGAACTATTGCTAGATGTTAAATTGATAATTACATTTTAATGCAACATTTACACATATTTCTCAGTTGAAATTATAAGCATATATATATATCTTAATCAATTTTTAAAAACGGTGTCTGGGGATTAAATCTTTTGAAATTAAATTTGATCACTCATTTCTAACTCAGATGATAAGTTATGATGGATAAAGGATAACCACTGCTTTTATTCCAGCTGTCTTATTGATTACATGCTATCAGGTCAATGTCAAATTTTAGTGACTGCATCGATTTTTTCCCAGTGCACAGAAATCCCAAAGAACTATTTTGACATTAGACTGGAAAAATGAAAATGCCAACCAATTGCAGGCACATAGATTAGAAGCTGAAGTATATGATTTAGAAATATGCTTAAATAAGTTTAAGGTGAACTCAAACCTGTGGTCAAAAGTCTGCAAAGTAGAGCAGACCCATATCTTAAATGCCAGATAATTTGTGTATGGTCATCTTGAAATATTTAAGGAAATACAACATCTTTTTTTTCTTAGACTCAGGCTGGACCCAAACAGATAAGTTTCATGCAAGAATTAAGTACTACTGTAGAAGGGAATACACATTTTTACTGGTATCTGTTTGCCAAATTTATGATAATTTTAAAACAGTTGCTCCTGAATAAAGTATTCATTTCCCCACCCTAGGTGTTTTATATATATATATATATATATATATATATATATATATATATATATATATATATATATATAT